TGGTTTTTTATGGGGGGGGGGGTTCATGGGCTTACAGTGTCTTACAAAGATACATAACAGCTACAAGTGTATGCACTACTTGCTTTATGCAAGCACTATATAGGATCAAGCACTATACAGGATTTAGCATATTATACTTTATCCACACGAATTGATAACAGCCACCCACAAATAGTCTATAAACAAAGCATCAGGCTGTCTTTGAGTTCACATGAACAACGGTTAGTTACTCGTCGTCAGGCTACAGAAGAATAGGGGAGAGCGGGGCACAAAGTAACACTTTTTGACTTTCTTACATTGTGTAAATCCACATGGGGTTCAGAGTATAATTTTATAATCCACAGTAATTTCACACTTGTCTAGTACAAATATATCGCTTTGTTTCATAATTACAGTGTATATACGTTTTTCTTTATTTACCCTCAATAATTGGAAGTGAAATGTGACAACATGCCCCGTAGGTGGGGTACATTGTAGCATCCGAGGGGCACGTTGTAACATGACCATAAGACAGTTTAAAATCTTATCTGATTGAATAAAAAAAATACACAAGACAAACTAAAATATTTTGTCAATAATATAAAATAATTATTTATTTCAAATAAAATAATGGCATTTTTTAAGAATTAAAAATAATCAGATTTTGGAGTTTGACAACGAACACATTGCAACCATGTTTGGGACGGCCCACATAAACCAGCCAAAATGCTTTACATGTCTTGAAATAATGATTGTTTCTCGTCGTTTATCATTAAAATGTATTAAAGTAAATAGTGTAAATTACATCGCTAATGTCTTAGAATAGCACATTGTAACGCAGTGTTACATCAACATACCCCATCTCCGCAACTGGAGTTTAAAACCGGGTACTGTCTTCTGATAGTTAGCGAAGCATTCAAAAATAATCTAAACTGATAAATAACAGATTGGAGATTTAAATAATATTTTAAATGAGTAATAACAACTGAGATGAAAAATGTACTTAAGCCAGAAATATAATTTTACTATGGTAAAATAAATGTTCAGCGATATCTTCAAAAGACTTTTGAATTTTGGTGCTCTTTTTTTCTCTATGTAATGTTGATATAGTAACTAGTAAATTTGGTTATGCTAGCATGGGTGGAAATATTTAAACCACGTGCGTTACAACTAACCCCGCGTTACTTTGTGCCCCGCGCTCCCCCTACCAGAATTCCTCCGTTCAACTAGGCCTAAGACATCGAGAGTCACGCAGACCTATAACAACATGCCTTACCTTAACACAGAATCGACCACAGAGTTCAGCGTTTATATTTTTTCTACGAATCTTTGAGTTAACATGTACTAAACATGAGTGGAATTTGCACCACAGCGCCCTCACACCTTGATGCTCATGACAAGAACAGCATGTATAGTTATCTTTATTAAAGTGAATTAGGTTTAAATCGCCGTCATGCATGAATGAATGATATTTTTGCAATTTTGCACATAATAATCCACGATGATCACATTGCACAAAACTGAAATTGCACGTCAAAATAACACGTTGTCAATATTTTTTGAGACCCCCAAAAATTTCACAAATCCCGTTTTCAGGGGAGCCCATGTCTTATTAAGGGGAGCCGAGCTCCCCCGTAGTTCGCACCCTGGGCAGACGTATTAGGCTAGAGCTTAAGCTCGCGCATAAAGCAATTGCGCTCAGCAAAAATGACGCGAATATTGTTGGTTTTCACGCTTAAATTAAAGTAAAAGACCGCTTCTTAAACCAGAGAAGGTGAACATGTTGGTATTCTTGTGCAAGCAGCGTCACCGGCAGCAAGTTTCTTTTTGTTTTGTTTTCATTTTGAAAAGCTTATCTTTGCTGTTTACCTCACGTTATGCTATGGAGGCTCTCTTTTTTCTGATTCCTCAATGTTCTGTAATTGATTAGTCATTATATAGCCTAATACAGCGTGCAGGCCATGCCTCATCTTATTCGTTTTTCTTAATAACGTTTTGTAAGTTTGTCATTGAATCTTACTGGTTTGTTGTTGTTGTGCATTTTAATTAAAAATAATGAATCCATCTTTTTTTCTGTCTTAAAAGGTGAAAGGTGTATAGATGTAAGCAAAACAGACGATTATATGTTATTGTGAAACCTGACAAGATCGTGAAATCGAAAGAGAAAGCATCTGAAGCTTATAACACAGCAAAAGAGGAACTCCCGTTCACAAAATTCAAATCACAAATAATACTACTGATGAAAACGAACGGGTTGAATGTTAACTACTTTCGTTTCCATAACGTTTCGTTTAACGCCTGTTACCAATAAACACGCAGACTGCTGGAATACAAAAACATTGTTTTAGTTCGAGCTCGATTTGTAAATGAGCACATACACATATATGATTGTACACTTTGTTTGACTAAAGTTTTGGTTGTTGTACCTTTCCTTGAGTACTTGGCTTCAATATTCTGATTTGCAAAAGTTTCACAGTATAGCTTTTGTCAGTTAACCCTTTATTGATCCCTTAACTTAACT